TGCTTGGAGGCTCATGTAAACACGGCTTCTACAGCTGGATCGCTATGGATAATAGTTCTTGTTTTGGGTACTCATACCCTTACTGATGACTACCTGTGGAAATTCTAGTACGTGGCCTCTGTTGGCATTAGCGCTGGCTTCGGAAGCTTTCGGGGTGTCTAAGATGACGACTGCTCTGGCTGCAGGATGCCTCATGATAACAAAGTCCACTAATACCTTTACCCTCAAAACCTCCACAAGCAAGTAGAGGACAATTTGCTGAATATGAACAAAGCATATTCTCCACACCTTCGACACGGTTTCTCTTGCTCTGGAAGCAAAAATCCCCAACCCTGAAGTTGAACAACCCCAGCAAAATGACATGGACCCCAAGGAGCCTGAGGAGACAACAGTCCTCCTGAGACAGAGCTGGTAAGGTTCCATGCGAAGTGGGAGACTGTACACCCCAGGGCACGGCTTAGTCTAAAACCCTTAAACCCTCAACTCCAAACCGTAAACTCTAAACCCTACACCCCAATCTAGTCAGGACCTGGTGTACAGGACCAGCTGCAGAGGCCGCGCCCAGCACGGCAACGCGCTCGCCGCGCGCCGCCCGCGCCAGCGCTGCCTCAAAGGCCTGCTGAGGGTTGAAGGCTTAGGGTTCTGGGGGGGTCCTCCTTTCCGAAGAGCACTTCGTGTTGGCTGTAAACCACCTGCACATCCCTGAGGAAGTATGATGCGGGGTTTGGGGCTTCGGAGGTAGGGTTTGGGTTCTGAGGCCTGCAGTGCTGTATGAACCGAAATACAGGGTAACCCTAACAAAGGGTTCCACAGAAAAGCTTTGGATGCAGGGTTACAGCAGGGTGCGTGCAGGGAGGCGGGCATTGCTTGCTTTTCTGGCAAGGAACTGGGAATACCAACTTACATGGAAATCCTGGAATGCGGCCAATTTCTGACTTGCATTTAGTTAATATTTAGGATTGAAGGTTGGGATTGAAGTGAAGATTTATGGAAGCTTCATTGAGGGGTCCACCATCTGCAGCGTCTCGGCAGGGTACCTATCCCTATGGTAAAGCAAGAAGTAGAAGGAGCTGATCATAGTGATACTAGTTACTAGGAGAAGAAAGAGAAGCAGTGGCATCATAGTCCTGGTAGCGGTACAAGGACCAGCAACACACCAAGTGTCCTCTGCCCATGGCCGCAGTGATGGGGTCGTGTGTAGGGTTTCTAGGATCTTCATTGTTTGCAGAATGTCAATCACCTCAAATCTGCTGCAGAGGCGCAGTGGCTTCCGTTGCCACAGAGAGGCGTGGAGGCCTCGAGCTGCTGGAACGTGCCGCTGCAGCCTGAAGAACTTCCATTAGCTTTTTTGTAGGGTTCAGAGTCTGGTGTGGTCAGGGTGTACGATTTTTGCGGGCTAGGGCTTCATGAAAAGCAGAATCCCGAGAGGCCCCCACGCCATCAATTTGCAACCTCGTGCAGCTCACGCACCAAAATTCGGTGGGACTGGGCAAGGTGCGAGATTACGGCGACAGGTGCGCAAGCTGGAGCATAGAAAGCACACGGGATTGTGGCCAAACACATTCGACAGTGTAAAAAGATGGGCTTTCAGATGAAGCCGACAGACTCCATTGCGACGATCCCGAAAAGATGATAGGTGCGATGATGGCCGTGTCGACGACGACACTTGCCCGAAAACAACGGCATGACGGCGACTGTGGGCAGCCACATGATGTCGAGCCAAATGGTAGGTTGCCGTGTAATCGAGCAGTCAGCACACATGACGACGCAAATAATGAAATCCGTATATCTGCAGTACAAGAGCTGCATCGTGTGAGTACTGCTTGGCAACAAAGCCTTCATACTCCAATCCTCACTTCCCTCAGGAGGCTCAAACACCCATAGTATTGTACACTCCGAATCCCTGGCACGTCCCTGTCACAGGCTTAGGGCTTAGGGGGATGGCTAAGCCATGGGGCTTTTTCTGGGAGGCTGTTGGGACATCTCTGTTGGGGTTCTGCCCTTGGATGCAGGGACCCTAGCTTTGGGCATATAAAATCAGGTACCCCAGGTACCACAGGCATAGCTGGGAGGGTACCACCCTATTAAGGACTACTCTGGGGCTACTTTGACAAGCTCCAGTTTGGGCGGCTTGCTGCTTGTTGCCCACTATATATCTGCTTGTAAATAATAACCCATGTATGGCCCACCTTCCGTTTCATGCTCTAGTTTCTTTTCCATTTCGTTCTCCCAGTATCCAAGTAGGCAAAATCCCTTAACCCTAGCCCTTCTACTTGAGCTTGGCCTCCTCGAAGGTGAGGATACGCGTGCCTTTCCCGCACTGGCGCTGAAGGGCTGAAGGGACGGAATAGGGGTAGTATAGGAGGAGTATCTATAGGAATCACACATAAAGGGATGATGCTGCGATCCATTCCCCAATTTCTTGCACGTGTAGTGATAAGCTTCGTTTGGGATTCTGAACTTGAGGTTCCGGTTCAGGGGCTCGATCGCTCTAGGGATTCCAGGAAATTATGTAGTGCGCAAATAATTCCTCATGCAAGTCTGACAGGAACCCGACGGAAGCAACCAGGGAGGTGTCGGCAAGCATATGGGGCGTCAATTCGGGGAAGACCCAAACAAAGATCCAGATTTCTTGCAAAAACCTAACTACGAAGACATATTCAATTTCAGGTGCTACATCCAGCCTGGTAAGGCTGGCAGGTTTTCTGCTACACCTGCGGGTTTGCGTGATTTAAGCCTCAAAGAGGGTTTACGGCCTGTCCGAGATTCAGGGCTGAGGGTCTAGGATCGAAGGTTCAGGGTTCAGGGCTTCGGGCCAAGGGCGTAGGGGTTCGTGTGTGATGCAGGTGGGTTGGAGTTCAAATGGTTTTTACAACCTCTAAAGAGTAGGACCCTCCTGTTACCGGCGAGTATAGGGTGGGTTTGGGCTCTGGGATGTAGGGCAACAAAAACCTCATAATTTGCACCGTTCAGCTAGAGAGCTCCCAGAAGGATAGCTTGGGTGTTTTGGCTTTGGAATTACATAGCACCTGTATGCCAAGGCAGTGATCACGGATTCTGCTGCTGGCTCCTGTCGCTGGGGGGCTTCAAAGCCTGCGACAAACACCTGCAGTCTCGGCATACTGCAGCTCCTTCGAAACCGAAATTCAATCAAGAAATCCTGAAGCAATCGCAAACCAACATAGTTAAGGTTCCAGCTTATCTCCCGCATCTACCCTTGATCCTACACCCGCCTTCCAGCATCTTCTGCACACTCTTCAGCTGGATCTGCGCATTACCCAGCTGGTAGCCTCCAGCGTGACATACCTGCGCTTGTTGGATTCAGGGTGTGTTTCTGGGGCTTAGGGCCCAGGCACGGGCGCTAGAGTCTAGGATTTCAAGCTTAACTCCTCTATTCGAACCATCTTTTGGTGCGTGGCATCATCGCTTAACCCAGGAAATATGGATTCCCTCCAGGGTGGCCGGCAACCACCCTCACCCAGGAGGCTTTGTTGCTAGAAATTGTGATTTGACCTTGTTTTGTTATGTGTTGTTCAGTTGTTTCAGGAATCCGCTGGGGGAAAGGGACAGTCTAGAGGAGGTTGGCTTCCAACATCCTTGCTTCCGAGCTCACTAAACTGAAGCCCACAAACCCGTGCTCCCCAATAGCCGAATTTGCTAATTTCTCGAAATCGTTTACCCCTATGCATTGCAAATTCTTCGGCTTCAGAATGCCTATATACTCCTGAGGTCCTTTGCGGGATCCATTTTTTGAGACAGAACCAATCAATTCCTCAGATGCCGGACCTGCTGGGAGACAGTTGTTTGGTGTTTGAAGCAAGTAAGATCATATTCTCGTTAGAAGATACTATACCCGAAAGGACGACATGATCTTACTCTATGTATTGAGGACTACAGACAGGATGCCAGCACCACTCCAAAAATTGAATATGTGGAATTTGCCGTCAGAGCATGGGGACCAGCAAGAAGCTATAAGGTCTCTGCATCAAGGGTTGCTTTGGAGGACGTGTTTGGGAAACTTTTACATGGCTCCTTGGCGGTGAGGCCTCCAAACTAAGAGTGGCAGCGGCGCTGCGCATGTCACGGTCCGCCTGTGCAGCAGGGCTTCGGGATCCGACATTGAAGTTGGAAGCGGTTGGTCTGGTCAGAGTTGGGGCTGAGTTTTGGCGTTCCGCTGTTGGGCGTGTTTTCGTGCTTTGTGGGTTGAAGGCTCAGGTTTCCTTTGGATGGTCCTTCGAAAGTGATTCAAGGTACACGCATCACAGCTGACACAAGGCCAGGACATTTGTGAGGTTCAGGGTGTGCGGTCTCTCCACCACTCAATACAAAATCAAAAAACGCAGTCGAAGAAAAAGTGTTGGACGACACCAGGTATTGGATGGCCTGATTTCCGAATGAGCTTGAAGGAGTTCTTGAGCATGTTCAGCAGGCTGGTACCAGACAGCAGCCAGATTGACTAGCATGAGGGCTACGAGTTGGATGCCTGTGAGCCTGATTAACCCCTGGCCCTGAAACACACGCCCCGGGAAGTTCTCTGCTTGAAAGTAATCGAAGAGGTGAACTCTGGAGTTTCATGGAAAGCCAAACAGAACTTCCCCGAACACGAAACCTGTGACCGGAAATCCTCTACACCACTCAATTCAAATCCATTTTCCCGATTTCGGGTCCATGGTGCTCTATAAAGACCATCCATGCCTGGGGATCTTGCACCACTTAGGACTTAGAACTACTGTAGTCATTAGAGGATACGGTATGTAGGATGGTGCAAGACTTCCTCTATCCACAGCGTTCAGGGTGCAGGGTACACTAGTTGTGTTTAAGGGGTTAGAGTGGAGGGAAGGATTCAGGCAAGGCCTCACACTGGTCCAAACTCTGGCAGAAACAGAAACAAAACATCCAGCAAAACCAAACGCGCACAACCCTTCGTGTCATCTTCATGCGCCTACCTTTAAAAAGATCTGCGCATGCAATAGCACAGCACTTGCGGTGCCAGAGACAGCCTTGTCGTTGGCACTCCGGACCCAGTCAAAGTTTCCACCCCTGAAAATCAAGCAATGACCCACAAGAAGAACGTCTGAGAGTACAAATAGAGTAGATACAAGTCGATAAGGTATCTCCCTTCAACTATAACGGCAGTGGTGGAGACAGCCAACAAGACAGTGCCATCAAGTTAGCATGAAGCTTGGTGCGCTTTCAAGCTGAGGGTCGCAGGTGGCTGTGTTCCACTTTTAGTTTGCAATGAAAATCTGAGGCTCCATCTGTGCCTGGGGTCTAGATTTGTTGCTTATGAGCATAGGCTTGAGTCCAGGGCTTCAGGCTCAGGATTTAGGGTGTGGCACTTACATTTTTGGGAATTGCGGATAACCGAGGAATGAGCACTAGGCAGCTAAGCATTTGCGGACAAACCAACAATGGCAGACGCCGCAGACAATGCTGAGCAGTTGCTTCTTTGACGATAGACACCCTCCGGAGACGTGCTCGCTAAACGCAAGAAGGACTACGCCTACGCGCTGGAAGCAAAGCAACCGAAAGAAAATCGGACCCGTCAGGGTTCCATCCTTAGTTGGGAGAAGGATTCTGAAACGTTCCTCTGGCTTCTACATAACTGCCCTACCCAGTGTAATTCCCAGAAAGGACTCACAATTTTGGGAACTGGGCTATGACCTGCAGTACCGGTTGGGCCTGACGGACACCTGTGGTCCTGGCTTGACAATCGGAGGCCGCGTAGCGCTGCCCTAGTTTAGGGCTTACTGAAGTAGAATGTAGGGTTGGGATTGAGGTTGTGCTTTTGGGTTTGAGGTGTCGGGGTTCTGGGTTCTGAGGGTTTTGACGTTAAGGCTTCAAATAACCCCCACGTCACATGCGCCTGGAGCATAGAACTCCGTTTCTCTCTTGTTTGACAATGTCCTCATGTTATCATCAGCGATTGCGGTTCGCACCAAGTCTCAAGCTGACCACAGCACCAGATCCAAAGCTCACTGCAGCTAACGTCACTTTTGCTTTGGAGTTGTGATTTGAAACCTGCTTTCAACATGAAACCCGATCCCGATGAATCTTGCGCTATCCAGCTTGAAAAGAGCTTGGCTACGTAAGGAGTTGTCAATCAAGCTTATTCCACAGAACGTGTTTTCGCATGTTTTCGTGTCTTGCGTTGAAACACGATTCTACTAATTCATGCTCAATTGCTCAACGGCTTTTTCACGTCTATATCCCTGTTGAGCTACTCTTCAAAACAGCCATAACAAATCAAAACGAACGAGTACCAAGCACATGTGTCTAGAAAGTTGACAGCGCTCGTGCGAACAGAAAACAATCAGAAGCACACTTAGAATCTAGAATGAGCACATACAACAGTAAGGATCATGAACATTAAGCTATCAAGGGATCTGGCAGCGACAGTCCAACTAGCATCGCTTGTTTATGTTTGTATAGAGATTATGATGATTCTCCCTCAACCTTCACCCACCCCAATCAAGGCCAGGAGCCGGGAAAAAAAAAAAAACCTTGAACCACAAGCCCTTAACAAGAAAATCTCCGTCTCACCATATTCCTACTGTCATCCAGGGCCTCGAAATCGGGATCTGTTGGATGGCTCTGGTCCAGGAAATGCTGCGGATTACCGCGTCGGCAGCCATTGCCGAAGCTGCATCCTGGAGGGGAAAGTTGCCAGTTCCGGGTTCACAACTCAAGGCTAACCCTAAGCCCATAGGCTACCGCCGGGGCTTCCAAAATCGTGACGACCCCCCCAGAGTCCCAGCACAATCCTCATGTTCCTCTACCACTTAACTACAATGTGTCTGAATGGATGAGACCACGGCTGAAGGCCCATGTTTGGGACCGTCCGTTCAATTTAACCCTTTCAGAGCCTTGATATCAACCCGGGGGCAATAAAAATTAAGGGTTTAGGGCTAAGACGCGCTAACGAGAAAGGTACTAACTCTCAAAAAAGGGCTCACAAATTTTGTGCCCTATGATTGCAACACCCTGACTTGGCGTCTCGCCCTTATGCAATGTACCTCCGATATCATCAATCCAAGCACAAACCTAAACGCAAAAACATATCTTGCCCCGAAAACGCCTAAAAGGGAACCTATCAACCCCATGTGAGATTTCCGAAGGTCAGGGTCTGTTCTCGAAACACTCAATGCCCCCCCGAGATCCAGAAGCCTATACCTGCACCCCAGACCCTCAACCCCTCAACCTGAAAACCCACTATACCCTGCCTTGCCGCTTCGTCCTGACCTCTCCATACACAAGCGCCTCCTGGTTGGCTTGGGGGACTTAAATTTAGCGGTGTGGGGGGAGGCTATGCTAAGCTAGAAGCCTCCAGGAATCACAAACTTGCTGCTGTTCCCTTGACTGTGACCTGCGTAGCTCCAATATCAAGATGACGGGGCGCATGCGAACATTCCAACAACACTTCGCCCTCAAAATAGCCCACAAGAAATTCAGACTCAAGAAAACCTAAGAAGCCAAATTTCTTAAAAATCTGTCATATGCAGCCCAAGCCTTCGACCCAACGAATTTCAGGCCATGAATTCCAGGCCTAAAAAAAATGAATGGGAAACCGCAACGCTCGAGAAGGTCGCAGCCTTCCTTCCAAACACCCTGAGCGTGTATTCTCGGCTTGACCTGGGCTTACCATTGTCAACCCTCCCTGACTGTGAGAAAACCAAACAAACAAAACTCGGGTCTTAGGGTTGAGGGTTGGGGGTATCAGTTCTGGGCTGTGCCTGCTCGACCACTTGCGCCGCTGGAGGTCCAATCGACTGATAGACAGTATCGCCCTGATCTAATCACACGCCAGCAGCATGATATGGTAAGAATAACGTTGGATAATCATGCCCCTAAGCATAATTCGTGTGCATCGGATCAAAGTTTCAGGCTTTGGGGCTGAGGATTGGATTTCAAAGGACGGTGTCTTCGTTGAGTTTTGAAAGTTCGGTTCCAGCGTCGAAGAGCAAGGGATTCGGGGTCTTGGGTTTGAGCATGTAACGTGTTCTGTTTAGAATCAAGCTTGGTGGGACTTGCCAACTCGATCGTTTGCTTTGTCTAGATGGAGGCTTGGAGCAAAAAAATGTTGCGCAGTTTAGGAAGTACGGGCAAGTATGAAATCAATGAGTCAACAAGTCCGTCCATAGAGCAAGGAAGGACTGCTCAAGAGCACCAACATGCTAAGCCAAACGCAAAACGCACTTAAAGCAGCTTGTATTTTACCTATAGTCAGCATGAAAATACATGGCGGGCTGTTTGACATTGGAGACGGCCTTCAGCAGCTTCAAGAAACATATGTCCATCCTCAACATCTGCTTGGGACCATGTTGTTGGTGGGAGGTGCTGCCGTTACTTTTATTCCTATCAGGTTCCGCCAATGTATTACAACGTGGCACAAACCCTGACACGGAATCTTGCGACGGACCCAAGATATCACTGTTCAGTAAGCCCCCTTATAACACGAATTTGTGCCAAACCCAGAAACCTCTCAAACAGTAAATTCTGAACCCTTCTGCGCATGCAAATACACAGAGGTATGTAACATTTCTGCCATGTGTCCGTATGGAGTCCCTGGAAACCTTCAGAACCCCTCTAAACACTAGTCCCAACATAGCCTGCGTGAGTCCTCCTCACTATAGAACATCTGCCGAGTCTCAAGGGCTTGGTATTCTGGCTTGTCGCGGCCAACCTAGGATGGATGAATTGGGCCAGGCCGACCCATAATGGTATACTAGAGTTACACAGGTGTCCAAGTATGATTACAATTCTGCCTCCTCACCATTCGTGAGTGAACGGGATCATGCAGGGTATGGGAAAGGGAATGGGGTTTGGAGCCTGACGTTTTGGAAGCTTTCGCTTTTGTCAGAAAGGTGGGCTTACAGCCTGAGCTAGGATATCGAGTCCTTGAGCATTTTATTGGCCATCAGGTCTTGAACCTTCAGGAAATACATACCTAGCAAGGGGTTGAGCTTTGCATAGTACTACCTGAAAGTCCAGGAAGAGATACACATACATACACTTTGTCCAGCGAAGGGTCACCACTGGGGGCATGCACGAGAGTTCCACATGTCCATTCCTGTTCCGTGATTGTATGTATCTGGAGTATGATGAAATACTTCTTCGGACCATGAATTGAACTCAAGCATGTTGGGGAGATAAGGGCACAGACCTTCAGGTGTGCAAGTCAGAGGAGACAAAATGAGGTATAACCCTACATGCAACCTATCTATGTCTTATGCGAATCATAACACTTCGTGCTTGGGACTGAAGATCAGAGCTGGGACGGGATTTCCTCAAGATCCAAGGCCCTATTGAATGTGAGGGCGCTGATTCTTTGCAAACCCAGACAGCAGACCTCGATTCTGGTACAAAACTCAGAGGCCTCTCACCCCAAAAACCTGCTAGGCCCAGACTTCGTGCCACAGCAATGGGATTCCCGAGCAAGTATGAAGGTGTACTAGACACGAGAACTGGTTCTGTCTACAACGGAGGCTTGAAAGCTTAACAACCCGGCCAAACTCTGTACGTCCTTCCATGTCCCCGAACAAAAAGCTATAATCGGCCACGCATGGTCCGGAGACATGAATGGAGAAACCTAGCATAACGCACCTGGTTCTCAGCAGGGAAGGAATGAAAAGAACCGGGTAGTATGTTATATAGCTCCGATTGTTTGTCCCTGCACTCCATTCCTCCATTGCCTTGTAGGTACCAAGGAGACACATGCTTCATCGCTACTGGTCTGGAACTTACACAGCTTTAGATTTCTCTACCAGAAGGCAACCCTGAGACTAGAGGAAGCAACTTACTGGTGGTTAGCAAAGAAGGAAAGAAAGGAAAGTGAAAATTACTACATCATCAAGTATGAAGAGTTCAGGGTATGGGGAATGAAAGACTAGAGTTTTGAGATTGCTGGGGATTGTGCTGGCAGCAGAGATTCATTCCTCCATTCCCTACTAACCACCAGTAAGACAAGTAACAATGGCCCAGAGGAATTCGCAGCTGCTGCAGAAGATACTCCGTTCCAGTGCCTCTACAGTGGTAAACCCCCATGTCCTACTGACAAAACTTAACCATGGCCAGTCAAGACCTTATCCAAGGCATCGTATCTCGATCCTCACATAATTCATGCTATGATGCTTTCTACGTCGGCAACAAAATGCTGTAAGTTCATGTCACATATAGGACGGTTAAAAACTTATCAAAAATAGAATTGACTTTTGGATTCAGTCTTTGCAAAATGTGACTACAGCAGCTCTGTAACTCATTTCAATCATGAAACATCGTTAAACCCTTCTAAAAACACATCATTGCCAGATCTGTTATAATTTCATCTTACATTGGGCTGTAGGTTGGTGTGTGAAAACCTCAATAAGGCACCTTGCTTTTCGGTGTTTTTTGTCTACCATGTTCTCCAAAACGTGGTGCCCCAAGCTTGCGCAGCAAGCCCCTGACACAGATAATTTTCAGGACTGCCGACGAGCAAACCTGAAAGGGGCCAATGACTTGCAGGCAGTTTCCTACCCAAACCGCAACAGTAAGGATCGGAGTCGAACCCTCAGGTTCAACCTGGAAACCATGCAGCACTATGCAACAACAAGAGTTTATTATGGATATTATGGATTACCCGCTAAAATAGGGCTCAGGGCTTCGATCCCATCCACCTGTGCACCTTTAAAGGTAACCTAGGAAATGCAGCTCTAGTGCTCCTGAAGACCCGCTTTAAAATCACAATTCAAACTGTCTGTCTCCTTGTTCTAGACAACAACAGGCACTGGACCCTTCTCCAATGTCAGGTTTAGGGTGCAGACGTGCAGTGGCCTGAAAGCTAGCTGTAGCCAGGCAAACCTGTGTGAAAAGAAGTCTGATAGATCAGTGTTCCAACAGATATTATTGAGGATCGGCAATTACGAAGATGCAGCTCATGCAAACCAAACTCCATCACACCTTCAAAGAGCGGAACTTCACTCGAAAGTGCTGCATTTCCTGGTCAACCTTTTCGAGACACATGTTCGCCTTCAAAAGCAAGCAAGGCCACATAAGGGAACTTCCATGTCTACCACTTTTTCAGGATGAACTTAAGCCCTGAACCCTGTTTGCTCCCTAGATTCTGATGGGTCATTTTTCAGCCATGAGTTTCAGGTGATGTTCCTAGAATACTTCGGAACCTGACATGCAAAAGTATGTATCTGTTGCTGCGGTGAGTTTGCAAAACCGCCAGGCCCAACTCCTGCGCCAGGGAACACAGCAGTTGCCAGCTTGGCTCAAGGCAGCACCCATGGCTCCAGGGCTGACAAGGCTACCGAATTCGCAGGCTGAGGTTAGGGCTAGGGGTCTGGGTTGGAGGCGGAAATAGGGTTTAGTCTGCAGTTTAGGAGTTTAAGGGCCACTAGTTCGGGTGTAGGTTCCTTGGGGCCGAATTTTGAAGAGCGTGGCCCCTGTCTAGACTTGCAGCATTGCATTGGTAGTAGTATCCTAGCCTTCGAGGCGCCCGGCCCTAGATGCAACTATTGTTTGAATGGCGGAGCAGCAGGCGAGAATGTGGTGTTGACGTCGCTTGGTAACCGCTTCTATATTGCTCGAGTCCGCAATCAGTGTTCTTCCACATTTAACCGTCTGGAAACTCTTTTTTTTGGAACAAGGGACCTTTGGGCGACCCCAACGTCTTGCGTATTGGCCAATGCGCTGACAGCACCCTGCTGCTTTGTTTTTGCCTAGCGGCACAGCTAGTCAGCTGCCGACAATGTCGCCAGTGCCCTTGGAAATTTCTGCGTGACACAACTCAAACCCCAAACGGTTGGTTGACGCGTGCTGTAGAGTCTCTGAGCTCATGATACCTGATCAGTCCATCATAGCTAAGCCAGCGAAGCCAAACCCTGTGAGGGCTCAGGATTCAGAATAAGAAATATGAGGGATTTAGCAGAGTTACACGCGACTTAAGAGAGCAACCTCGTTCAAACCACCTGCCTTACGAATTATACTTCTAGTACTGACAACTACGAAATAGCTCTTGGGCGGACCTTAACTATTTCAATCCTAAACCCCAGTCGGCCAATGCACCCCACTCTATCCGCTAAGGCCTCTTCCTAGGTAGGCTTGTCAAGTCCACACTGACAGAAGCAAGCCCGAGGTATTGAATAACCAATTGCCAAAGCTCGAAACTCTTTTCTTCCAGCTGGCTCAGGACGTGCCCCTGTCCGCTCCTTGGTGGTCAGCGGCATGACCATGAAGATCCTATGAAGACCTGATTGGGAGGACCTGAAACGAAGCCGTTTGAGGGACTATTAGTTGGTGGAGCAACCTACGGGTACACCACACTACTTTAATATTGCCTTTTGACTGCGGAAGCTATATCCGATTGTGAGTAGGATCTGGTGGTGGGAAACTTGATCAATGAATTTGCTGGTTGTGTCCCAGTCTAACACCACATCCCCTCTCTGAATGCCCAGTCTCGCACCGTGCAGCGGCAGCGAGATTGGTCTTTGCAATTCTCGGCACGGTCCAGCCTGCACAAGTCTTTTCTTTAGAGAGTAAGGCTACATGACCCTCTCCCACACTGACATGGAACCGCCTAAGTAAGGAACCCGACAAAGAGTACCGTCCTGTTCAATCTGAGCCGTGGGGGGGGGGTGCAGGAAAGACCACAATATGAAAAGCCCGTATTCCAGAGACTCACCAAAATCAAAACAGTCGCTAAATTTTGGAGACCCCCTGCGAGGAATCCAGGACTTCGGCTGTAGGAATTCAAGTCCAGAACGTTGGACGTGCAGTGATAGATTTCTGGTCGGCAAGGTCGATGGTAGAATAAAATGTTGGTCCTACGAGCGGGACAGCTGAGCCATCATTCACATGAACAGTTACAGTTTCAGGTTCTCGGGGTTACTGCTAAGTTGAAATTTCATACCCCAACATTTACTTCCTCATCCCCTGAAACTCAACAAAACTGACCAGTCAAGACAACACAGGTATAAAAACGTGATCCTGTCTGGAGTGGTCTGTGGCATAACGGGGCCCATAGCAATACCCTAAAGTTGCGTCCATTGCTTGAAAAACTTCAGGATAGAAGCTCAAACTGTGCTTTCTAGCGCCATGCACGCATGCCGGGAGTGCGCATTTGCGCATGCCCAGAAGAAGATCTCAGTGCTCTTAAAATGGTGTGGCGGGATTCCCTCTAGCAGAGTACTGGTTCCAATGCTCATCTTCAAACTGATTTCGGGTTTTGGTTCATCAGTCCTGGGCTTGGCGACTTCCACAACTTCCAAGCCACTAAAAGCGAGTAGTTTTCCGTCACGATGCCTCAAATCTAGAATTACTTTGCGGTGTCCTGTTAGGGGTTCCTATTCAAAAAGCGGCGATGCACGTTGTTAAACGTAGATGCATCACATGCCGGGAATCTGGCACTGGGAGCGTGACTGCTTTCACAACTAAGACGTAAACTGCTGCCAGTCTGGGCTGGCTGGCTGTTACCTCTCTCCCTAGATCCAAAACCGTGCGCAATCTTAGTCCAGACTCCTGAAGGCGCTTGCGTAACCTTGTGCTTGAAACATGTAATCCCTCCCCAAAAAAACTGCCCAGATGACGAACATTCGCCCAGTTTTGTAACTCAGCGATATTGAGAGTATTTAGTGTCAGGTATAAGTATAATTGGTCATTCAGCATGAGGGGATGAGATTAACATCAACTAGTTTAGTC